ATTTTGCTTTAAATTTCATTTTCATTATAATGATATAAGTTGGATTATTTTTTCCCTAATATCATTTTATAATGGATGATTATGTGTTAGAGCTATTTAATAATGTTTTATGGCTTAAAAGAATTGGTTTAATTTTATAATTGAATTGCTAAATGATATTAAATATACCTTTTTTCAAATAAGTATCAACATGATAAGGATCAAGTTAAATCACTTTATCATTGCAGTGTATCGCTTATTGATATTAATTCATATTTCCTATGTAAAGTAATACTTATAATTGAAATATGGAGGTCTAACCTTTTCGAATGTGTGGGTTAATTAATGTTGAATCAAGTTGGATTCATTGATTATAGTCATTTAATGCATTCTCTTTGTCATCAATATTGTAATATAAATTCCCTAAGATATTTAGTGTAATAGCATTCACCTCGGTTATAATAGGCCAAACTATATTTAGGATTCATTTCAATAGCTTAATTAAAATCTCTAAGTGCAAAATCAATCATTTGTTCATCCTAATAATACAAACCTTAAAATATAAATTCCCATTACGTCTATACATATATGCAGAATAACAGTTCCCATCTTTTTCTCTAGCTTGATTGTACTATTAGAGTTCATGATCCAATAATAACTATAAGCATTATTATTGTTTATGGATAAGCTCTAATTTACATCTTCCAGTGCTTTATCATATAATTTCATTTTTTCATATAATTCACCTAAATTTATATTTACAAAACTGAACTTCTTAAAATGTAGGCTTCTGCAAATTTAGGGCAAAGATCCAAGGCATTCCTAAAAACAATTCCATTTGATTATTTGTACCTAGCTTTTGTATATTGAGCTCTCTTTGGTTAGAATTGTTCCTCATTTTTTTGAGATATATCCAAATTTTTTTTATAAAATAATCAATAAAATTTATGGAATTCTAAATATGGTTAAATATCAAAGTTTTAGTTAAAAAATGTATTACTCTTTTATTTGAAAAGCAGAAAATAAATATATTTTGGATTGTTTCAAATTTTCAATCATTTGATGATTTTTTTCATATTCTAGACTTTGAGCAAAATAAGCCTATTTTGAAATTTGACATTAATTCTTCGTAGTCGAATTGCTAACTGTATATAATTTAAAATAAATTTTATATTAATTTTCAAGACTGACTTTAAGTAATTAATTTTGAAAAAAGTTATAAGGATTACGAAAAAAATTTTGGGATATTAAAATCATTTTTATTAGAACATTAAACTTCTAAATTACACAAATACATTTTAAAGCCCATGAAAACTAAAAGCATTATTGAATAATTGATGAATTATAATTTTTTAATAACAAGCATACTCATACATATACAAAATAATAGATATCATTGATTTCCTGCTATTATTATTTAGTTTGTTCGATAGGTGTCTTATCTAATTAATATAACATTGAAGGGGTTTAAAGTCATTTTTGGAAATAAAAAATTTAGTTATTTTAACTCTTTAAATTATGAATATAAATAAAAATCATTGATTCCTATTTTCTCCTTCATCGAATCTATAAGTTATTTAAAATAAATTATCTGTAATTTCTTAATCAATTAATTAGATGAGTTCATCAAAAGAATAAAGTTTTTAAAAGCTAAGAAATTATAATGAGGGATATTATTTTATTTAGATATAAATTAATTTAGTTAAAATCATCTTAAAAGTAAAAGTGATTATATATAATAGACTATTTAGAAAGCTGTGTACATTATCTCAGTGAATTATAAATGTTCATTATATATAGATATTGAAAATTATTGTTGAAAGTTGCTCTTTTGGATGTATGTAAAAATTCACTTAGAGCTTGAGTTAATCTGTATTTAAGATTATTAGATGGTGGTAAGGGAAGATATCATTATTATCTCCTTAAATCTTTATCCTCTCAATAATATCATACTTCCTGATGATTAATATAACTTTTCAGTCTTTTATAATGTCTAATACTATTAATATCAATTTAAGAATAATAGTCAAAGGTGATTGGTACGTTACTTTCAATATAAAAAAATCATTCTATCTATTTGTTTAAACTTTATTATAGTATAAATTATTTCTAAGATTAACTTAATTTTTAAATATATTCTTTGATGTATCTATTTTTTTATCTTTTGTTATAAAAAATATCTTTAACTATTTATGAACTAATTATTACAAAATTTTTAATAATATTTTTTCAGAGAAATACCACTTAAAAATAGTAATAATTTAAATAAATCTATCGATAAAAAATTTTAGGATATGTAAATAAATAATTACTATATATGACTGAAAAAGAATACTTAAGAAAATACTTCCTTATCTAGATTAAGAAGTGAAGATAAAGAGTGAACCTAATAAAGAGAAAATTAAAAAAAAATAATTAGAAATTTATTGTAATGATAATTATAATATTGTAAATGAATAATCATGCTCAATTTTACTTAAAGTCTTCTAAAATTTAACTACCCTTTTGTTTAAACAATGTCTTTAAATCTATACCTGATTGATTGACAAACTCTCCTTTAAAAATTTGTGCTCCTTTTGCTTAAAATATTGCTTCTTGGGATATAAGTAGTGTAGTGATGTAATTGGAGGCTAAAATATCAAAAAAATTAATATTACCTTCTTAAATTGGACTATTTTATTAAAGTATAATCATAAATTATGCATGAATATTTTTGTAGTTTTTATCGGATGATTTAATTTCTTATCCTGTCTTTACATCCCATAGGCAGATAGAGTTCTCATGATTACCGGAAGCTAATGTATTTCCATCAGGAGAGAAACAGACTGAGTTGACATCATTACAATGACCATCTAATTTGGCTTTTTATTATCCTGTTTTGACATCCCATAGACGGATAGACTTATCTATACTACCAGAAGCTAATGTATTTCCATCAGGAGAGAAATAGACTGAGTTGACATCATTACAATGACCATCTAATTTGGCTTTTATTATCCTGTTTTGACATCCCATAGACGGATAGACTTATCACTACTACCAGAAGCTAATATATTTCCATCAGAAGAGAGACAGACTGAGTTAACTTAATACTAATGACCATCCAATTTGGCTTTTTATTATCTTGTTTTGACATCCCATAGACGGATAGACTTATCATAACTACCAGAAGCTAATGTATTTCCATCAGGAGAGAAACAGACTGATCTAACATAACTACTATGACCATCTAATTTGGCTTTTTATTATCCTGTTTTGACATCCCATAGACGGATAGACTTATCATCACTACCAGAAGCTAATGTATTTCCATCAGGAGAGAAACAGACTGATCTAACATAACTACTATGACCATCTAATTTGGCTTTTTATTATCCTGTTTTGACATCCCATAGACGGATAGACTTATCATCACTACCAGAAGCTAATGTATTTCCATCAGGAGAGAAACAGACTGATCTAACATAACTACTATGACCATCTAATTTGGCTTTTTATTATCCTGTTTTGACATCCCATAGACGGATAGACTTATCATCACTACCAGAAGCTAATGTATTTCCATCAGGAGAGAAACAGACTGATCTAACATAACTACTATGACCATCTAATTTGGCTTTTTATTATCCTGTTTTGACATCCCATAGACGGATAGACTTATCATCACTACCAGAAGCTAATGTATTTCCATCAGGAGAGAAACAGACTGATCTAACATAACTACTATGACCATCTAATTTGGCTTTTTATTATCCTGTTTTGACATCCCATAGACGGATAGACTTATCATCACTACCAGAAGCTAATGTATTTCCATCAGGAGAGAAACAGACTGATCTAACATAACTACTATGACCATCTAATTTGGCTTTTTATTATCCTGTTTTGACATCCCATAGACGGATAGACTTATCATCACTACCAGAAGCTAATGTATTTCCATCAGGAGAGAAACAGACTGATCTAACATAACTACTATGACCATCTAATTTGGCTTTTTATTATCCTGTTTTGACATCCCATAGACGGATAGACTTATCATCACTACCAGAAGCTAATGTATTTCCATCAGGAGAGAAACAGACTGATCTAACATAATTACTATGACCATCTAATTTGGCTTTTTATTATCCTGTTTTGACATCCCATAGACGGATAGACTTATCATCACTACCAGAAGCTAATGTATTTCCATCAGAAGAGAAACAGACTGATCTAACAATATTACTATGACCAACTAATTAGGCTTTTTATTATCCTGTTTTGACATCCCAAAGTCGGATATACTAATCTTTACTACTAGAAGCTAATGTATTTCCATCTGGAGAGAAACAAACTGAGATAACTTTCCCAGTTTGACAATCTACTTTTGCTTTTAATTTTTTTGTTTTCACATCCCAAAGACGGATAGAATCATAATTACCAGAGGCTAATGTATTTCCATCAGGAGAGAAACAAACTGAAAAGACAGCCATAGTATGACCATCTAATTTGGCTTTTTATCATCCTGTTTTTATATCCCATATGCGGATAGACTTATCATAACCACCAGAAGCTAATGTTTTTCCATCAGGAGAGAAACAAATTTATCTTACTTAATTTCTATGACCATTAAATTTATACAATTCATGGATTCTTAAGTTTTTCAATTTACAATTAAATAATTATGCTCCATTCAGATTAATTCCACTTAAGTTAACATTATTAAATTAAGATCCACTAAAATTACACCTAATAAAATTAGCTCCTACTAAAGAAATATTTTAGATCTTAATATTTTCCAAATTTTTGTTACTAAGGTCAACCTTCATCTAAACTAATATATGTAATGAATTAGATCCACATTGTATCAAATTTTCATCTATGGATGTGAGTTGAACTAAAAATTACAAAAATTCAATATTCCTTCTATTATCCTTGATGCTTTAAATTAAACTTAATGTTGATTCATCATATTCTTCCGCAGAAAAGTCTTTGTAATTGAAGTCATGATCTTTTAATTTTTTTAATACATTTGTGATTTATTTCATGTCATTTGCAATAACAGACAATTTTTATTCCATATCAGCTTGTGTGATATTCTCTATTTGTTGTAAGATTTATTATTCTAAATTTATTTGATTTCTATTATCAGAAAGATATCCAATACAATCTTAAACTTTTTCTTTTCTTAATATTTTTAATATGACTCCATAGATTTCTTCATCTACATTCTTAAATTAAGTAAATATGTCAGCTAGAGCTTCTTTCTCTTATAAAGAGCCTTGCATTTTCTTTTTTATTTTTAATAATCAATTTCTATTACTCTAACTTTAAGTTATATACTGTAAAATCGCTAAAATTATCTTGTGGATTTCTGTAAAATAGAAGTTAGGACTTTGTGTAGATTTGGAATTAATTGTAATAGATGTGAATGATGCTATAGAGGATTCATTTCAACACCTGCATTACTTGATTTATAAATAATATAGAATAATTTTATATTATATGACTATTTTCATTTATACAAAATTGATTTCTATGAATAATTCATTAATTTTTCTTGTTTATCTTTAATTTTCAGATTGGAATATGTCTTTCTATTGTAAATTGGATTGTTGGATTTATACTTGTAGTGTTATGTAAGATTTTAAATATATTTCCAAAACTTAGTATGACCCCTCAGATATAGGTTGTCACCTCTCAGGCAGAAAATAGTGGTCATAAAATATTTTATAAAAAAAAAGTAAAGGGGGTGGTAGTGTAAAAAAGTGAAGATGTATTTTTTGAAAAATTGTCTCCACATTTTTGTTGTAATATTTGTATATAATAATTTTTTAAGATTTTTACGATTATGTCCT